TGCAGCTTGGGACATACCCCTTAATCTCGATAAGACATCGGTGCCTCATATTGGAAAAGGCGTGAGAGCTCCGTATGTCTACCGGGACATTACATTCAAAACATTAGATGAAGTGAGCGATCCTGGATTCTATGTGGACACAAAACTGGATTTCGAATGCCACATAAGCAAAATTGTTCGGAGAGCTTTCCGCACTCTTTTTGCAATATTTAGAAATATGAGGTCCAATGAACAAAATATTTGCGAGACTTTATAAAGCATATGTCATTCCTATACTGGAATATGGGTCAACGATTTGGGGTCCGCATACAAGGAAACTTCAAGCAAAAATTGAAAAAGATCAGCAGACTTTCACGAGAGTGATACTGTGTAGATGTGATCGGAACCCAACATGTTCAAGAAATATGCCAGACTACGAGGAGCGCTTACGTTGCCTGAACCTCAAGACGCTTCTTTATCGGCGTGTTTTCACTGACCTCGTGATTTGTTTCAAGATGCTTCGTGGAGAAATGAAGCTTAAACCAAGTCATTATTGGGTATTTAGACCTTGTAGAGGGCGCACTCTCTCGCCCTCTCTACACTGTCCCAGACTCGCAAAACTGAATCGAGAAAAATTCAAAATTCTCTTTTCTTTCGCGGGGCAAGGTGGATTCAAGCGTTGCCTCGTGAAATACAAGTGGCTCCAAGTGTTATTAGCATTTTCAAAAGTAGGCTGAGGAAAGTTGACTTGCTAGGGCTTTCCGGAATTCGTGATTTCGAGTAAGAATGAAATAATCAAGTTCTTTTCCCAGTGCATTTCTTCAATGATTGGGAGAAAATCAATGATTGTGGACTAAAACAGGTATGGCCGCTGGCTCTAACTCCTAGTTCTTGTTTTTTTTTTACGTTTTTAACTTTTATTTGGTTTCTTCGTGTTCTTTTCAAGGTAAATAGTTTCTTTAAGCAGAGACATGCTGATGAAGTACCCACACCAGACTGCATAGCTGTTGGAAGCTGCTCATGTTTTTTGAATACACCTCAGTGGCGGGCCTTGATTCCCGCTTAACGTTTATTCAGGTAAAGTACTACGCATTGCCTTGTCCGTTCTCGTAATACTTACCCAGCTTGGCGTTTCCTCGTGGGTGGTCGGTATACCCGTGTCTCGAAGTTTCGTCAAGCTCTTATGACCCCATATGTGGCGACTGGGCGTCACAGCCGACTGACGTGGGTTTGTGTTGCGGTTTGTTTCCAAGGGAATGCGTAGCCATTGCTCTGTCCCCTTTACTCCCCATAGCCATGATGATAGTTCAACCCCAGCCTTTTCACTACTGTTCGAGACCATCGCTTGAGAGCAAAGCAAATAAATATATGTTCAAATAATTCTATGGTGCTTCCAGTTAGGTAGTCTAGTTGACACTTGTTGTTGTTTTCATTCTAACAATAAAAATGCTACCATGCCTTCCATTATGCTACGTTGTTCTACCTTCATTGTGTTTGTTTCTGCGATTAGTATGTTTATGTTATCTAACTAGTGAAGTTTCTGTTACAAGCGCACTTAAGAGTGCATAAATAAATAAATAATTAAATAAATAAATAAATAATATGATCAGAGAACCCTTATCTAGTGATCCTATTCAAAAGTGAAAATCAACGTGCATCGATTTCGCGAACCTTTGTTAAGATGTGGAAAGGCCGCCACGAACTTCGGGAAGAAAAACTGACGGTAAAGAATAGAAATGCGGAAAGTGAACTAATATTCAAACAGCGATGGACAGAACGCAACCTTTCCATAATGAGCTACAGAAAGAAGTGCAATAACACTGGAATAAATCTGCTCCAAACTATCACAATGTATTCAGCATATAGAAAGCATTCAGGATATAACAAATCAAAGCACCATTACCCAGCATTGGCATATAGAAAGCATTCAGCAGTTGCAAAGCAGTATAACGAACCAATATGAAGAACGCTCTTACCTGATTCCTCGTTAACAACAAATGACGATTGCAGCCTAACAACAATTTGTTAGGCGGTAACTCTAGTAGCTGGCTACTTGATCTAACTTTTCTGGCCCTTCCCACAATTGCCCAGGGGTTAATATTCAATAACACGAGTTTCCAGTTGCAGTGTAACAACTCCCTTTTCTGTATTTGTTCGGTCAAGTTGTGGTGCGAGCTGCACCATGTTGATATTCCAACCCCCTGACCTTCGTACTCACGTCATCTCCACATTCGAATAATGAGCAAGCTATCTTGTTACAGTGTCAGAATAGGTGGTGACACACATGTCATGAAAATCTTAAAAATCATGTAAAAATGAAAAGTGGCTCCAGTTCGACGTGAGACCCCGCCGAACTGCATCTATTCTTGATCCTGTCGTTTTAATCTCCCCTCGTTCGGTAGGTTTGTGAACTGACCAGCTTACAATGTATTGAACCCTTCTACATACATTCATTCGCTAAGGGTTTTCATTTTCCAGAAGAGAGGGCGTGTTGTAGGTGAGATATATTTATCTTGCACTAATCACTGATTCGTTTGCACCTTATTTTAGTTAAAGTTCAGAGAAGAGATAGAAATATATAGTTATTTTCCTTATCACAGAGGGTATTAAGTTTAATCTTGGTCGAAGCTGATGAATTCTCTTAAGGAGGTTCAAAGATCGGTGAAATTGAGGGATCTTGAATATGCCTTTTCTTTGATGCATAACTGACTCACTGACCTCATTCATGTTACGGCTGTAGGTCATTCTGGTGTTTTTGCTGTTCTTATCTGGGCTAACATGATCCAGTCTATAACCGCGAGTCGCTAAGATAGTACTGGCTACAACGATTGTTCGATAAAAAGGGGTTGAACTGCCCAGGACGACTCGATTCAATGGTGTTGTTGGGACAAACTAGCTTACGATGTAGAAACGAAAGGCTGACAAGGTAATACTATCAACCCTGATCACAGTCACGTAGCTTGCTGTGTTAATGAGGGACAATAGGCCTTTGAGTGAAATCGTAAGAACAGTGGCAAGTGAACATAATCAGCTTTCAGCAATAAATAATAGTAGTTAATTTCTAAGTTCCTGACATCTCATGGCCTCCACACAATCTGATCGCCACAAGGTTGCCGAATTTGCGATGGGACTTCTACCGCTTTTCTGGTCATGGGTTGTTATGACTGAACTTCAATAGCCGTGGCGCCCGTTGATTGCAGTTCTTACAGCTTCCAAATTGTGAGTGACCTGGCAACGGTGTGCGCTTTTCAAAAACTCAATCTAGACACGCCTCATTCGAAACGCTTCGACCTCCTTCGACAGTTGAATTGTAGCAGCCAGTGGCTCCCCGTGGCTCGTGTATCGTTCGTATCGCGTCAATGCTCTCTTAAAATTGCTTCATGATACTGCCGTTCAGATCTGTTTTGTCCACCTTCAGTGCTAAATATTCTGAGCCTCACTCTCGCTGAGCCCAACACTGCACAATTAACGAAAATTGTAAGCATGTATTCTGAACACCCTCACTATTGGGATCTGTGTGGATGAATTATGGTCTGAGAAAGTCACGTTATCTGATCTTCTCTCATCTCTGCTCAACGCCCAATACCGACGCAATGGCTATGGTTAAATGAGCTTAACAAAATAAGCGCTATGAGTACACAGTGGTATTCAGGTTCTAGCTGTACCGTCTCAATAGTTAGAATGAAGCATTCCACAGACCGGAATTTAAACGACGTAAAAGAAAAACGCTAAGTCGTCGGGTAGTGTACTGGGGAGGGAACACCCTACCAATTCTGGATGGACACGGCAAACTGCGGTGCAAAATTCGCGATGATTTAAACGGCTCTGGCGTCTATCTTTGAGGCACAGGTTTGAATTACGGTGATTAGTGAATCCGGCCGGGGCGGGCGCTTGCTGCTTGTTTACAAACTGAATCCTGATCGAGGCCGAGTAGAGTAATACCGCAGGCCGAGTAGTCTCCCGGCCGGCGCGCGTGCTCGCGAGCTGGCCGGCGGGCTATGAAAGCAGCCATTGGGTGAATGTACACGTACCGGGTATGGGTACTTACGTGCGTCCGAGGATGCGCGCGGTAAATTGCGCGGCGAAGTGCGTGATCATTCGAACGACTCTGGCGCCTATCATTGGGGNCCCCAATGATAGGCGCCAGAGTCGTTCGAATGATCACGCACTTCGCCGCGCAATTTGCAGCGTGCATCCTCGGACGCACGTAAGTTCCGTCCCCTACCCATACCCAGTGAACTTACAGACATGGTCTCGTGTGTATTTTGTTGAATACTTGGAGGTAGTTTTTTTCTTTTTTCAGATGAACTTACTTTCGCTTATTCTGGCCTTCAAGTCGGTGCGATTCGGATACGGTTGCACTGCAGTGGTTCCGAGCACAACCCCAAGACCACCGCAAACCCCTCGACCACCGACAACAACTACACCACCGGGTGAGCGTTTTCTTCTGCAAAATTCTTCTTTACTTGTATACCAGTGTTCAACTGCCGACCCAGAATATCTGATGTCGAGCAGTGTCTGAGGTCGTATGAGCGAGTGCACCCTGCACATAATCGAGATGATAGGGATTATACGTAATGGAGTTATCACCAGAAGAAGGCTAAATAATAATTGGTCGCCCTATCAAGAAGCAAGCCGATCTCCACCGCTAAAGGCTGGTTGAAATTACCTTAGAAGTGTATACAATACTATACTGTATTATATAAACGCTATTAGGAGCACCACTATTCAGAATTCAGGCTTCTTCCCAAGCTTCACATGCCGTAAGCAATAGTTTTCTGTACTTCTTACATGATTGTGATAAAGGTAATGTTGTGCCATGAGGATGCTCGGTGAGCTTTGCGACAAATTCACACCAGGATTTTCCCATTCTACAAAAACTTCATAGTCTACGCAAAGAGATGTTCCCAATGACGCATCATGTGCTATAGAGTACAAATTTGGACGACTGTTTACAGTACAACTGTTCGCCTTTTCGACACACAATCTCAGACACCAGGGTGGAGGGGTCCTTCCGTTCCACTTCGCTTAACTCTTGTGGCTGTTCCGTGCAGATTAGGAGGTACAGTACATTTCACAGCCTTAGCGTGAGCACAATTTCCGTGAAGCGAGACGTTGTTCGAGCTACCTTGCCAGAACCTCTTAATACTGTAACTTCCATTTGAAACGTTTATCTGCGTGTTAAAATAAGGAATCCAGGGTACGTAAGGAACTTTTCTCTTTCAACTTGATATGCTATGCCTGTCGACTAAGGATGTACAACAACTTGTTCATCTTTTGTTGCTTAATGTAGTTGGGCAGCAGTCATCGATGTAGCGACACAACACGATGAGTAAGCACGCTATAACTGGCCTTTCGCTTAGGGTCATAAAGCAGGTAGCCAGGATCTGGGCTAGCCGCTGACCCATAGCAAGCCCTCTCTTTTGGGAGAAGTACTGCTCGCTCTGCTTATCGGAGTAGTTAAGCAAGCATACTTTCTCAGTTAATGATGGGTCTTATTTTGTAACCACTATCACTAACTGAAGCTTCATCTCCCTCAAACAAATATGACTCTTGTCCAGGCTATAGAGTATCGTTCACGAAGGTGTATGCAACTCCAATCTTCTAATCAACCTTTTACCCTCAAATCGGGGGCTCCAAACTACCTTCAGGTCCTTGAGGACGACGGTTTGCTCGGATTGTCGACTAAATAGAGCGGTTCTATCATAATAAACCTGTACAGCAAAGCAGAGTGGAGCTCACTCACTCACTTTGTCCGTTCAACTCCATTTTTCATTTTAGGTATGTTTCTTTTTTAGTGTGTACTTGTGTATTCAACCTCTATGACAGAACTTTATGCAATGCTGACTCTGTTTGTCCAGACACGGGAAAGGTACGTTGTTGGGAACTATATCAACTTTAATGTTTATATACGTTATAAAGGTCATATTATCATTGGTAGATTGGCAGAGGGCCAAACTCTAAAGTGGTATTGTATAAAGAATGTTCACATGCCACTTGCCAAAAAAAAGGATTCAAAAGCAAATTTGGAAGTTTGGTCTTTATGAAGATGGTTCTTATGGGTGCTGCTTTTGTTCCTCTTCACAGTTCACAGTTCGTCCGGACTTCGTTCAAGGCTCTCTCTTTTGCAACACCATTAAGGATATTGGGTCTACCCAGAGAGGGGTAGTCCATTTACCATGAAACTCTGAATGGAGACTCATATTAATCGATAGAGTATTGAATGTTGTTTACGAATATTCGAATTGCACTGCAAAATGGCTTTCCTAAAAAAGTTATGAGGGCTTGAAGTCTGCATGAAAGTAGTGTCTTTTGGAAATGCGATGTCGACGCGTTGGCGTCAAACGCCGACGTGGCATAGTGGTATTGGTCTAGCTTCAGAAGTGAAAGGTTCGGTCGGGTATGCTACACGACTCCGTCGGAATCTTTGCATTGTGATCTTAAGTTTCATTAGAGACTTTCAAGACCATTTTGATATTTGTTTGAGTGAACGCCTTATTTCTGCTTCCATCTGCGCTTGTCACACATACTCAATGAAGAGTGGATCTACATGTCGATTGAATGGCTCTGTTTTACTTCAGATTACGAAACATTGAACAGAATGACGCCAAAGATGCTTGTGAGGAACTCAAAATTTGGTGAGTACTGAACAAAATGTGTGAAGCGCACACGTTGTACAAAAACTGCACACCCCATACATGCTGGATCCAATCAAACGAAGACAAAACAGCTATTGGTCTCAAGATTGAACAATTGTTTAACACGAGTAGCACAGGAGTTTGGATTTTCATCAACATTCCCTGCTTGAGCCAAGTGCCCTTCGAAAAATTTGAGAAACAGGTTGCTCAGAGCATTCGATATACTTGGGATACAACCTGAAGTATATTGTATCTTCGTCATATCAAATTTCGCGGTATTAATCATAGTTCTTGGTCTGATCCCTTTCATAAGATTCTTTATAGAACCGAAAGGAAGACTTCCAATGAATAAATAACTGAAGTACCACCGGCAGGTGTATGGTGGACTCCAAGTTTGCATCCATCGAGAACGCTGACACACGCTGAACGCTCACATATGCGATTTACATATAATATCTTCGGGCACAGCTTGTTTGATGGCCTTAGCTTCCCATATTCGTGAATAGCATTCGAAACTCAATCGATTAATATGGGTCTCTATTCAAAGTTCCATGATGATTAGGCCA